GATGATTAAATAGAAGAATAAAAGTAGAAGCTAGTAGCTAAATTATATTATACGATTAGTAGGAGGACGACGCATCCTTCGATATAAAGTCAGTATAAATTATATTCAGAGACTGCAAGCAAGAATTCAAGACTAGTAAGTTAAACAATTGAACTATATTGCTTAACTATATAGAAATATAATGGTAAAAAGAATTAACTGACTTCCTGATAGTTTTTAAAATAGAAAGAAAAGAAGGTTTTTTAAAGATAAATGTTAAAAGACCAAGCAAGCTAAGTACTATTAATGACCTTAGTATTGAATTTTTCTTGCCTGTTAATTGTCAAAGATTATCTAAATTTAAATCCTACCTCTTGAACTTTTCAATAGAGTTTTTTTGATTACTTGCAGAGAATTGTAATATATTTATACAACATTAAAACTATACTGTTGAAAAGAATTGTACTTTTCTATTTAATAGTTGAAATAATACTATGTTCTATTAATCAGGTGAGCGAATTCAACAGATAGTTTGTTATTTGCTTTTTAGTATACAGGAGGATTATTCTTAAGAGCAATGTTTGTCTTTTGTTTTAGAATCAATCATATCAATTACATAAAACTGCACTCGCGTTATATTGTACACTTGACGTGTCCTCTATTGAGTTACCGTCTTGTTTTATATAACACGTAATTGAACTGATATTTTTGAGATATTTTTAGAAATTTTCTCATAAGAGAAAAATCGATGAAGGTAAGGAGGGAGGAGTTTTATTTGAGTATTTAAATAATCATTTTAAGTGTATTGTCTTTTTTTCCCCCTATATACTTATTCAAAGTCTTACACTTTTTTATCCCTGCCTAGTAGCCTAGTAATTTTCCTTTTGCGTTTCTTCTTAAACAACCTTGGAGTCGACACTTATATCCTTTTCTAGAGTATGGAAATTAACTACTAAGAATGAAAACAGGATATAGAAGCAAAGAAACAATGTTATTCATACCATGCATTGCCTATCCACTCTATCAATAAATATATATATATATATATATGAAAAATTTCATACCTTTTCTAATATACATATATATATATATATATTATATTAGATATTTAGGCAATGAAGTAATAGGAAACGCCGAAACATAAAGCATGCCTACACAAACATATGAAGCAATCTAGTAAACATTTCCTGTTTTCAAGCATTTATCAGCCATTGTCGACTATTTTTTCACTTTTGCTTTCGTGCCGTCCTCTATTAAGGTTATTCAAAAATGTATAAAAACACAAAAATATATAAATAAAATATCACAAAGAGATGAAAAATAGACAAAGAAAAGTAAACTAGAAAAATCTATTAATTTAAACGAAATTTAAAAAAGTTAATTAATATTCAGACAATATAGTAATTAATTAATTAAGATAATGAGAGTATATATCTATAAATATATCATATATTCTATTGTATAAAGTCTTTATCTATAGTTTTTATGAATAAATTTCAATAAGTAATAATAAAAGAGAGGAAAAGGTAGGAAAAAATATATGATATAATTTTCTTTTTTGAACGAATAAAGCTCTTTATATTTCCCAAATCTCTCACTGTTCCTTTCTAAATTTTCATCTTCCACTCCCTTCCCTTTCTTCTCCCTTTATAAATTCAATTGTATATACGATCATATTACATATAGAGTTCAGTTAGTCTAAAAATGAAAGTAAGGAGAAAGTTCAATTTATACTCTCTCGCATTTTCCTGCTCTATCTAATTTGACAGTACTTTAGCAGAGTAATTAGCAAGAATTCCCTTTCTTTTTAGAATGAGTGCATATACATATATATATATATATATATATATATATATATATATATATATTAGTATATACAGAATATATATATATACTGTATGTAGAAATATACAGTACACATAATATTTATAACTAAAATATAGAATATTTCCTTTTTCTTCGTATCTTAATTATACTGTATTTACCATCAAAGAGAAATTGAAATAATAGTATTATTACCTAAACAGGAAATAATAATGATAATAAAAAAAGAAAAAGAAACGAAAAAATGAGAAGTATATAGACAAAAGTAAGCAGGATGCGTCTAAATTAGAGAGCTTCCTAACAAAATCTAAAGTATATATTGTATGATATAAAAAAAAGAGGAGGAAAAAAGATAAATAAGTATAAAAAGAGTATAAATGTATAAAGTGTTTAGTTTTGTCTTTTTCGCTGAATTGTTGTTAGGGAAAGAGAATAGCAATATATAAATCTTATATTGATTGATGATATTACCAATATGAAGAGGTTAATGACAAAAAATTACACAGGAAAGAAATAATTATGAAAGTCATATGTGTATAGCGTTCCTCTAATAAAGGAAATTAAGTATTCAGTTTTTCAATTTTAAATATATAACATATATCTCTAATACAGTGCTATTCAACAGAATGCATGACATTTTACTGTCTAATTAAATGTCATTACTGAATTTTTTGTAGAGGAATTTATTTTGCATATTATAAAGTATACACTATATAAAAAATATATAGAGTATAAACATCTTTGTGTATTATTAACTAGTCTTGAGAGGTCTTTTTGATCGCTTTACCTGGGTTTTGATTATCATTCCATAGTAGTTTTAAATTATATCTGTATGCTGAATACCTATATAAATTTATATATATATATATATATATATATATTCATACCATTTATATGTAGTATATACAATTGACAGTTTGAACAACACTCTACTATATTTATTACATTATTAAATTTCAAGTGAAAATAAACAACTTTTGTATAAACAATCCTGTATATTGATTTTTTTCCTATTTTTTATTGCAGACAGACAGACAGATAGAAAGACAGATGTGGAGAAAGGCGAAGAGAGAGACACAGAGAGAGAGAGAGAGAGAGATGACGACGGGAGAAAAGTGAAGAAATAAAAGAGAAAGGGATAGATAGATAGATAGATAGATAGATGAATTTAATGTCGACAAATAAATGAAAAAAGTATACGTTACTACCGTATTTATATAAGAATAGAGCAAAGTAGGTTTAATGTAGAAAATGAAATATTTTAAACTATACAGCTTTAATCTGTTGTTTTTCCTTAAAAACACCTCATGTCAAAATTTACTCACTACGCCTATAGTATATCTGTCTGTCAGAGACAGAAGCCAAAAGAAGAAGTAGAGAAGGCTTGTTCGTGCTCTTCCCTCTCGTGTAATATTATATCTTGAGAGAAATTATTATAAAATTCCCATCCGTTCTCTTATGATAATTTAGTAGTTTTTTTTACTAATAATCCTTCTATTTTTAACCTGTATACACATATATATGTATATTAGTACATATACTGATATACAGTATATAATTTACTATTCTAAAGTTCTCATCCTTTATCTCTGTATGCTTTTCATTTGAATATAAAAGACTAGAGGGGGTAGGTGAAAATAGTTGTTTCATGGGATTACATTTCATAATAGTTTTGAAAGATGAAAAAGCGTATAAAAGGAGAGAGAGATGAAGAATTTGTCGGAGGAGAGGTAGATGGTAAGCGTGGGAGGAAAGGAGAAAAAGAGTGAGATTTTACCTCCTACTTTTCTCTTCAGTTTCTCTATTCACTAAGTAATATTACAGTTTCTTTTTGATCTGATAATTATAGAATATAACTACACAAAATGACTTAAGTGTCTTTCAACTTGACTTAAATCAGCGGGTAAAACTATATTGGGCGCCATAGCCAGTTTAATTATTAGCTAGGTAATTCAGTACATTACCACTTTTTCTCATAGTTTTACTTCATCTCTTTCCTTAAGTAGTTAATCTGAGAAAAAAAGCACTATCTTACATATTCACCGATTAGTAATATAAAGCTCGTGATCTTCCAATAGAGTTTCCAACACAAGAATGAAATGAGAACTAAACCAATAGAATAGATTAAAAGAGAGGAGGAGAATGAGGAACAGAGAGGTAGATTGAAAAGACTTTGAGCTTAATAGACAAGAAAGAAAGTGTTTTTTTTGTCTAAATTCAAATAGATATATAAAGAAGAAGGATAATTTTATCAAATAATATTTTTTTTATATGGAACACTAACATCTGTTGTAGTCGTTAAATTGCCTGGTAAAAAGCAGTTAAAAAGCTACTTAATTTTTTCTCTCTATTTTCTTTTTTTAAACATGAAAAAGATATTAATTAAATACTTTCTATGTTTGAAATAAGGGGAATTTTTAACACTATTTTATATAGACTTTAATATAATCATGCATTTCTTATTCTAATTTACCTTATTTAGAATTAAAAGCCTTAATTAGTTAATTTCTCAAAGTAAATTCAAGAATAGAAATGTTATTATACTATTAACTTTTAATAACTAGATAAGCTATGTAAAATTATTCACATTAAAAAAACAGAAAGAGAGAGAGAGAGAGAGAGAGAGAGAGAGAGAGAGAGAGACATAGACAGACAGACGTATAGAGAGATGGAGAATAGGAAGATTCTATATGGCATATGGAATGCACTTTTTTTGTCGATTTATGAAAAAAAAAGAGTCTTCCAACAGAATCAATCTTTTTAAAATTTATAAAACATTTCTCTTTAGCCTATACACAGAGAAGTAATTAACCTTCACAATAAAAACAACCACACATATATGTAAGTACGAAGATAATATCTATTATATGTAATATATTCTACGTAATTTTAATTAGTTATTAAAAAGAATTTATATATATGTTTATCTATTTAAGACCTAAGACAATAGGTAATAGTTTCAGATAAATAGTATTCAATGCAAATAGGTGTTTACAAATAGATGAAAAACTAAGTAATTGACAAAGGAAAGATTTAAAAATATTAGTTATATAAAAAGCCGTTTTTAAAAACGATTTAAGAATCATTTTTACATTATAAATACATAAAATAGGTTATTTACATATATTTATTATATTGATGTACAGTATAAATACAGTATATATATATATATAAATGTTTATAATGTATATTACATGCATAAATATACTTGGAAAGAGAATAGATTATCTTAAGTAAACGCTGAAAAGTTGGTAATTGTTTTGTAAAAATTACGACAATTAGCTTATACCATTTCGACAAGTAATATACTTTATAATACATTTATACATTTATTCAATTAAATAGATATATAGTTATGAAATACCCCAAAAACATTTGTGTTCCTACTTTTAGTCCTATAAACCGCCGTCTAACGGATATTAATGAAATTATTATGTTCCTATTTGTTGAATATAGATAAATTGAATATTTTGCTTATTGATATTTGAACGATTATTAGTGTATTTCTATAAGCAGGATAAAGGAAATTTTTGTTAATTTTTATAAACAAATGCAATAAGATACCGTTTGGAATATAAGATCCCTGCATTTTTTTTTCCTTTTAAGTAACAATAACTATACCAAAATGTTTATAGGTTTTTGCTTAATAAAACGCCATCTATTGCTCTTTAAAAGTTTTCTTCCTTCCAAGTGGGCTTGACAGTATTTTAACGTTTTCCAAATGAAATCGTGGAGACAATAAACATAACCATCATTCCTTGCCAAACAACATTCTTGTAAACAATCTCGTAACGAAAGATGGCGCTATTCTTCTTTTTTAAATTGGTAATATATATTGAGATGAAGATGAATGAAGATATAAGTGTACAGATCAATCTTCCAAGTGGTAAATGTCATTCGACGGTATGTTCGTGAGGAATTATAGCATCTTTGGAAGTTACGGATGCCGTTTTAGCCAGTCTATCCGATTTTAGACGATCTTCCCTTCTATATTGATAATTACTTTCAGCTTCATTAATTGCGTTCATCCATTCATCATGATTTAAAGCCGTCGATGATCTATGTCTAATAGAAGAAAAACAGCTAAAAACAATAGTTCATTTGCATAACTGTATGTGAAATAGGTCAACGAATTTTCATCAGATTACTATAGATGAACGACTCTTTGACTTTTGCCATCGACCTCTGTTGATTTACCGTTCTTTGTAATAACAATAGAACTCTTTTCCTAAGAATTACTCATTTTCCAACAAAGTACAAGATACTTTAGTAACTTAGCACCAGATAGCACTACTTTTTTTTGTCTTCTTTTCATTTAGCTATATTTCAACAAAGTATAATAAAGAATGTTCTTATTCCTTTTATGTTATCTTTTAAACAGTTTTTTGTCAATAAAACATATTCATCAAATCAAATACAATCAAATGCTACTAATATCAAATCATAATAATAATAATAATAATAGTAATATAATGATAAATAGTAAACAATAATAAGTCTATTCAATCAAACAGGTAGATGGCGTAACATAATTACTTGAATGGCAAAAATAAATTTATAATATTACCTCGTATTAGTTTCATATACTTTAAACGATTCTCCGGTACGTTGCTTCTTATAACACGCAGTACAGCATATAATAAATAAAAGGAGAAACATCAGTGATAACAGTACTAAGATGATAATATGATAAATTTCTTTATTCCACCAGTTTTCATTGTCACTGGAACTCTTAACAGGTTGTTGATTTGAAGGTTTATTGGTTGTTCTAGATTTCGTTGGCGTACGTTCATTACTTTCGGTTGCTGTATTACCTTAAATAAAAGGAAATTTTGTCCTTTTTATAAGCCTTCGCCTATAAGTTTGAATAAATTAGGATAAGTTAGGTTACCTTTTGGGGAGCTTTCACTTAAAATGCTGGCTGTAAACGAATAAAAGAAGGCAAATAAGTATAAGTAGTATAGATTTATAAAAGTTAATATATTCATATTATTGAAATACTAATAGTTTTAATAGTTTTATATAAACGTTATTATTAAAACATTGTATCAAAGTATTTTCGTATAAAAAAGAAATCACGAAATTATAGACCTTTTAATAAAATTTGTCATGTAAATATTTTACTGCATAAAAAGAGAATTATTCTTGTTTTTCCTCTCTTGTACCAGACTCTTTATCACATACATATACTGTATATATACATATATATATATATATACTCTCTTTGTCTCTCTCTCTTTTTCTCTATCACTTACATTATTCTTGGTTATATATGAATATAAAAAATATATATCTTTTTGATATAGAAATAATGTTTTATAGCACTAGTTCCAATAAAACTTTCCTTTCGGCCATTGCCTATGACAAGCCGCCCAAATACATTAATTTAATTTCATACAGACTAGTTTACTTGTCCCCGGGATGTTTGAACTATGAAATTGGGAGCATCGATTGATAGGAAATATAGAAAAATATAAAAATAAAAGAACTTTTTTTTTCTTTTTTTTTTTTCTTTATCTCTTTTTTTTATATAAAAACATTTAAAATAAATTAATTTAGAATTAACAGAATTATTTAGACGTCTACTTTTGATTTTCAACTATAAAATGATTTAATCAATTTTTACCTTTAAATAAAGTTGATTTTTAATTGGATATTGTGTAATAAATACTTAAATATTCTATTGGGCAGAAAGTTCATTTATTAAAAAGCCTTATTCTTTCTTTCTATTTCTCTCTATATAAACTTCTTGACAAATGCCTCAAGCAGAAATGTTCCATTTTTTCCCCCTTTTTTTTTCCCCTTCCCTACATTCCTTTCACTGTCAATTATTCAGAGAGTTTGTTTACAAAGCATAAGCATAATTAAATTTCCCTGATTATAACTTAGGCCTAGATTTTTTTAATATAAAGGTTAGATATAATGAAAAAAAAAGAGCAAGAGGGAAATATTTTAGTATATTATATAAAGTTATATAAAGAGAAAGGACATTAGGATAAAACTAGAGCGAGCTGAGAAAGACAGAGAGACAGAGAGAGAGAGGCAAATAAACTTAAAAAGAGTGCAAGTAACATTTTGCAGTCTTGAAAGACTCTGAACTGGATTTTGTTGAACATAAAAAAGTGAAATCCTACATAAAAAACCAATTAAAAGAAAATTAATAGTGACACTACAAAGGAAATTTTTTTAGCTCAAACTATAAAGTATACACCGACAATAGTTTTTGTTGAATTTTAGTATATAAAAATATAGAACCTCTATGATCTTGTGTCTTTGTTGGGTGAGAGGGTTTAGTTACATGTAGGTCATCTAAAAAGAAAATGTGACAGTGAGAATATTACGTAATATAAGTGATCTATAAACTAATATACACATTATAAATATAAAAGAAATTAACCAGATTGATATTTAATAGCCAAAGTGATTCTGTACGGTAAATTTGATTTTGGAAAGATAACGTTTTCTCCTATTTCAGTTTTTTGATATTCTAAATAGTATAGATTATCGGCGTTCGAAATATCAAAGGTATATCCATAAACTCCTTTCTCATTTGGATTTGCAACACCTACGGTATCGCCTTTTTTAACTTCCCATCTTTCATTTAATGCCACTAATGTTGAACCAATTTTATTAACATTATATGTATACGAATAAACAAGTGTATAGTTTCTTCTTGCCCCTGTTTGATTGGAGTTTGGTCGCCATATTTGAAACATAACAACCCCTTTATTAATAAATTGCATCCAAAACGACGTTATAATCCCACTTGTTGGAAATTTCAAGTCAGAGAAGAGAAACATTTGGGATCCTTCTGGCAAAGGTTGAATATTCTGTTCGACTTTAATCTCCCCTAAAATTCTCTCGTTGGCCCCCGCACTAGCTCTAGTACTTTGGCCAATCGACCGAATTGTAGAACGAGGCATTGATACAGGCTTTTTGGTCGTCAATGAGATTGTTGAAGACTTTGAACTAGTAGGCCTAATAGATTTCGTACTACGCTTAGGTGTTTTCTCAGGCGTTAAAAGTGAAGTTGTTGAATGTTGTGAATTTTTAGTGATTTTATCTACGTAACAAAAAAAAAAGAAGAAAGAAAATAGGTCATAATATTTCTATTAATAACGTAATAATAAGAAAGAAATCCTTCTTTAAATGAATTTTTTTATTGTTATATTTACCCGAAGTACCGGCTATCGTAGTTCCTGTTGAAACTGTATATGCATACTTAAAATTTAATCAAATATAGATTTAGTATAGGATAACAATTAAATAAAAAATAATAAAAGGAGAAATAACCTTGACGTACGCCAACCCCAAATGAAAATGTGTAAGGTAATTTCAATATATCAAAATCAATGGTATCGTTCACTTTTGGTTTATTATCTTTTGTATAGAAATGTAAAAAGCATCCATCGTAAGCCGTTGACAATTTATAGCCCAATGGACAGCTTTTATCCGGTGTTAGAAAGGCTAACATGTCACCATCTTTACAGTAGATTTTATTCGTTAATCTTATCTGCAATTAAATTAATAAACTATTATATTATATTCACTAATTCCTTAAACAAACTGGAATATGTATATATTTGTATAGTTAGCGGCAAGACTAGCAAAGTTATCTATATATATATATTTCAAACAGAAATTCCTTCGTTAATTCTCTTCGAATTCAAACAATCGTACATAGGATTATACGCTAAGGACAAACAATCTTTAAATATATTTAACTTTTAAATTGAATTGCATGGTTAAAATAACCAAAACAGAGAAACCAAAAGTACAGTAAAAATCCTATTTGTTTATAAAATTTTGTCGGTCTATTAATTATATAAATAAAAAATATATATATTTTCAATATATTAACAAGTTCTGTTTTTTCCCTAAAAATTTAAAGAGAGAAAATCAATTTTTTCTTTTCTCTCTCTCTCTCTCTCTCTCTCTCTTTCTCTCTCTCCCTTACTTTCTTTCTTTTTCTAACTTTCACCCCTCTCCCTCTCTCTATCTCTCATTCTTTGAAGATTATTAATAAAAGAATTTTCAAATGTTAATATACTATTTATATAGGGTCTATGCAATTTATATATATATATGTATATTTCATGCATATTTATACATTATATTTAATATTAACTGTAAAGAGATTGTCTTATTTAGTAATGCAAACAAAATCTTGTGTTGTCAAATTTGGTTATGTTTATCTTCTCAAAATCTACAATTGTCGTATATGAAGGGGCACGAAGAAATATGAAAGGTTAGTTATTCGTCATTCAAAAAAGTGAAATAGAAGTATTTTTCTCTTTAAAAATGGAAAAAAAAGGAATATAAAAGTATATTGATCCTTCTCCCTAGAAGAAAAGGGTAATGCAATTTACGTCCTACTGTATATCCTGTTTGATAATGTGGCTGAGAAAATAAATTGTTATCTTTTCTTACTATTCTTGTTCCCTTCCTTCTGTCAACCAGCATGCTTACATTGATATCTCCACCCTTTTTGGTAAAATCCCTTTTACTACAATTTCACCCCTCTCGTTTATATTCTATCATCTCTCTCGCTTACTCTATCATCTTCTGTCGCAATCCTATCTAACATTATATTTATTGCAATATAAATGTCTATACTTACTACAACCCTTCCGAGCTTAGTGGGTTTATAGGCAAACTGACCAATAAGTGAACTTTGACCATCTTTCTTTCCTGTCGCTCTCCAGACTTGGAATTCGATCCTGTGTTCCGATATGAAATTAGCGTAAATCTCATCGATCCTACCTTCCGGCAATTTTTTCCTATAAAAAATAATATAGGCCTTTATAAGATAATCTTAACCCAAATAGATCTAACTTATTAAAAAGAAAAATAGTTCTATCAACGGCATCATTGTTTAATTTTGCCTCGAAATCGAATGGAAAACCAATGTATTGACCGTCATCAATTTGTGGATTTATCGGTATATCGACGGCGTAAACTGGAAAATAGAAAATAAAAAAAAACATGAGCTGCTGAAAAGATGATGATAAGAGAGAAAAATTACAATTTTATTTAAATATACAAATGAGTATTGGCATATAAATTACTATATTTCATAAAAAACTACATATACTTATATATTCATATACATAAATTTACTTTATATAGTTTATATAAAACATATAATAAGTAGATTATGCTCTTATATTGCATTGGCAAATTTAGCAAGTTTCTTTGTTTAAATCTAAAGCAACACGAACCGGAGAATAGGCTGCAAATAATGAATCCGACGATTTTCTTCATTTTGTCAACTTCTTTGACTATTCCTGTTAAAGGGTCGGCGGCCAAATGATTGAATAAAAAAAAATTGAACAATACACACACAGAGAGAGAAAGAGAGAATAAAATAAGAAGTAAGGAGAAAAAGTATGAATTTTTAATTAAAAGTTTAAAAATAGAAGAAGAGAGGAAAAAAACATTCACGGAAGTTAAAGAAATGAATATAAAAAAGAAAGAAAACAAAGAGAGATTAAGGAAGAGAAGAAAGACTACTCTTTATAAAATAAACCTAAAGATTGTGGCTGACAGAGAGGGCGGTAAGGTTTAGAGAAATGCGACTAGAAGTTAGGTCAGAAAAAAAGTCAATTCTTTACCTCAAGAGAATTGTTCTTTTTGAAGAATGAAAAAAAACTTTGGGAACAGTCAAGCTTGGGAAGAGAATAAGAGAATAATAAAAGAAAAATTTAACAAAGATTTGAGGTTGATCAGTCTCTCTCTTTCTCTGTGTGTAAAGTTTATTTAAGGTCAACCAAGTAAACTTGAACAAGTGAATGTCGTATGTCTAATATTGCCATTATTATTCTTGTATATTGTTCGATATATTTCTTAAACTAGAAAAGTATTCTTCCCCTTGACTTCTTACTTGTATAAGAGGGATTTTTCTTTTAAAACTCATTTATTCGGCTTATTATTAATAATATAAAATTAAATGATAGTTAGGCCTACGCGTTTAAGTGTTGTAACTGGTGACGACTAAGAATGTAACATAGGTCGGAATATAAAGAAGAAAATAAAGGATTATACTATCAGAACTGAGCGTTCATTCGTGCGTAAACCTGTTTTTCTCTTCGGGAATATTTCTTTACGTCTTTTCCATATTTCTCTATTGCAGTCTTTTGTTACTCTTTTAACACTAGTATGAGAGTTTTAGAAGAGAAAGAAATGTAGCATTTTTTCGCTCTCTATCTCTTTCTTTCTTTCTTTCTTTCTTTCTCTCTCTCTCTATTTGTCTGTGTGTCTGTCTGTCTGCCTCTCTCCCTCCTTTCATGTCCTATATTCTTTTTCTCAGTCTATAAATTTCAAATTATCGTAAACCTACCAATTGGTTGTAAATTTTTTATGAATAATTACATATTAATTATTAATTATTTTCCAAGTTAGTGTTAACATTAACGTTATTGACGTCTAATAAAATTGAACGCTTTATTATTCAATATATAAATCATCAATAATTTGGGGAAAATCTTGAGGAGAATTACAAATAAAAGAAATAAGTAAATAATAAAAGTTCTAATAAATGCTAATTTCATGTAAAAGATTATTCACTTAATCAGCCAGTGCCATCTATTGGTACACGTTTAGAAGCTATAAAAAAAACCCTATTAACTAAGATAATTCGTTACTTAAATCCTAATCCCCTTAACCGACCTGTCTGTGCCGAACGCTTTTATCTCGAGACGCCGCCCCAAAAAATTATAGGCCTATAAGCCCAATAAATCTGTTCGCCAGATGTCGCGCGGGTCTAAAACTTCTTCCGTCAGAATTCTGGAAAATTGCAGATGGATTTCAACTATTCTTTCCTCCTCTACAATTCTTCGAATTCTACATATGAAAATGGCGATGGATTAACGCTAGCCATTTTAAAATCTGTTACTTTGACTATAATTTGTTTAATGACAATTTTTGGAAATTTACTTGTTCTGCTTGCCGTTTTTATAAACAGGCATTTGAGGAGTACTACAAATTATTTTATAGTGAATTTAGCTTGCGCTGATTTATTGTTGGGATGTTTTGTTTTGCCATTTAGTGCGGCATTAGAAGTAGGCTCAGACTGGCCTTTCGGGCGTCTCTTTTGCGATATTTGGGCTGCTATGGATGTACTATGCTGTACAGCTAGTATTTTATCACTCTGTGTTATTTCAATAGATAGGTATGTTTATGGTCAGAGCAAGAAATAGATTGCAAAACTCGTATAGAGTTTGTCAATAAACTAAAAAAAGAAAAGTTATAGAATAAAAGAAAGATTAGAGAAGAGAAAAATATGAAGAGAATTCTTCTACATACAGTATATATATGTATAGAAATGAAATCAAACTTTTTTACTAGAAAGCAAAATCACAGATATAGATATATATGTATTTAGATTTATATATTTCTATATCTGAAAAGTTAACGCTTTAAGCGAAAGACAGCGAGAGAGAGAGAAGGGAGGAAAGAGGGTGGGGGGGAGGAAGAGAGAATAAGAAAGATATCTTTATCCTCTTTTCCTTTTAATTCTAGCTTAAATTAAAAATAATAATATAATAATAACAAACAGTATGACAAACAGAGAAATTCCATTAATATTTGTAAACTTGAGTATATCATAATTATTTTTATACTGTTCTTAATCAAATCTTTCTTTAGTCTTTTTAAAAATTATAATGTATATATATACATATATATATAAGGCTTAGTTTTCTTCCGGGTCTCTTCTTCTCTTATCCCATTTTCTCTCTATCGCTTTTTATTATCTATTTCTCTCTCTTTATATCTATCAATCTATCCTTCCCTCATTTGGAGTATTACTCTCCCACTCTCTTTCTCTCTCTCCCTCCAACCGTTTCCTATTCTATCCTGCATTATCCCATCCTCTCCTCTCCCCCTCCTCTCCTCTTCTCTACTCTACTCTACTCCTATAATATTTTCTCTTATACTGAGCCGTAATTACCCTTCCTCCCTTTCTTTTTGTCCCTCTGTCTGACTCTCTATTTGTTGAGTACAATAGTTTCTTTGAAATATATCTTTATCTAATAGCTTTTATTCGATAAATGGGAATTGTTAGCAAAATCATTTACTCAGAACTTTCTCCTCCCCTAATATTAATTGACTACTCTCGAAACAGCAATACAGCAATAACAATAAACATTTACAGTTTTTTCCCATAGAAAAATAAGCCTCTAAAATATGAATTGTCTAGACAGGCCATGTAAATCCACTTGTATTTAATAATAAATTATACAGGAATAACATTGACCTCTGACCTACCCTTTACTATGTGTCATTATCTTTTCTAAACTAAAGGAAAAAAAAACAGGTACATTGGCGTCACAAGACCCTTGCAACATTCAACAATTTTAACAGAAAAGAGAGCAGGTCTGGTCATTATAGGAGTATGGATTCTCTCAACTTTTATCTCTATAGCACCATTCTTCGGTTGGAAAACGCCAAACGAAGAGGAAGGAAAGTGTGAAGTAACTAAAGAACTCGGTTATGTCTTATTCAGCGTTTCCGGCTCGTTTTATATACCAACTGTTATAATTCTCCTGGTTTACTATCGTGTATATAAGGAGGCGTTATCACAATCAAAATTTCTATCCACTGGAGTAAAAACTGCAAAAACTACTGATGAAAGCAGTAGTACAGTAACATTAAGGATTCATACTCGAAAAACTTCTTCTGACTTTGGGAATTCAAGATTGAGTTTGGCCGGCAAAATGGCGAAGTTTAAAAGGGAGAAAAAGGCTGCAAAGACTCTGGGTATAGTTGTGGGCGTTTTTATACTTTGTTGGTTTCCCTTCTTCTTTCTACTTCCGTTAGGTTAGTATAATTTAGTATAGAATATATAGCTCGAAGCGGCAAACCGTTGGATTATAGGATAATGTTTACAAATTGTATATTCGATAAACAAATTTGTGTATATGGTGACTTTTTCTCGGCGTTTGATGGAAATAAATAGGTAAAAAGGAAAAGCAGTTCGAAGAAAACGATAAAAGACAGTCTAGACTATAATAGGGTTTCTAATTTTTCCCTTAAAATAAATGAACAGTTTAGCAAAACGCTCATCGCCAGAAAAAAAAGAGGTAGAAAAAAGATTTGACATTCTAATCCACCCCGTTTACCACCCACCTAGTAGAACCCATCCTTCTCCTTTGTTTGCGCACTTTTCTCCCATACAGCTCCTACGCCCCGTCCTCTTTAGTTGTTTTTATATAGTTTAGTTTAATTTCCTTCCTTCCTTTCTCTAAATAACAGTTTCTAAATTCAAAATCGACATTTCTTTTGGTGTTTTTATTAATATACTTATACACATATACTACTTTATACAATAGGACCCGTTTCTCTTTAAAACCACCCATCCAAACTCATTAAATACATCTTTGTTCAACTGTTTCGCGTTATTTGTTTAAGGGGTATTGTAGGCCTATTGACCATTAAAAAGCTATACGAATGGTAAAAGTTAATTACAATCATAGTGCAATTATAGTCGTTACTTTTCAATTGAAGAAAATTTGCAGTCGATTAATCATAATTAGTTTATACAGCTGCAATAATCATTGGTTCCACAGAGAGAATAGTAGAGGGAGCAAGAAATGGCGTCCTTAGCACGTATATATATATATATATATATATATATATATATATATATTCAATAATTTCGTCTTTTTACCACTCATAAAAACTATTCCTTTTTCCTATTATAAAGAAAAGAAAGTGATTATTTAATATAAATAATAAATATAGTTTTGTGTCTATTTACATATTGTAGTGTTTATGTTTATTAATTAGATAGTTTATGAAATGATTTTTTAAGTTATAAATAGTAAAGCGATAGTCTAAATATAATATAAACAACGGTTTAAATATTTAATGTAAGAGTACTCTTTAAATAGATATTCTTTGTTTAACTAATATACGTTGGAGAAAGAGGTTTATAAACGAAAATGTATATATATATATATATATATATTTTTCATAAATAGATTTATGATTTTCGGCGTCGTTTTTCATTTCTCGTCTATTTTCTGAAATTTATCCATATATCGTCACGACAAGACGATAGCATTGCATTAAGTAAATTAGTTGTACTTTATTGCATTATTACCTCTGTATTTTAGTAGAAACGTGAAATATCTTCAGTTATATTAAGTAATTTAGTTGAAAATAACTACTTTTATAGGCCTTAAAAAAATAAATAGTATTTAGAGATTATTTAGCAATTTTTATATTATCATTCTATATTTTAATGTAATTTATTTTTGTCTTTGTAATAAAGAATCATTAATTTTACAATTCTTGTTTTGTTTGATTGG